GAGGTCACTATTGACGATGTTTAATTACGGCCATTCTTTACTATTCAATGGTCATCGTTGACATATATTGGAATGCGATATCATTGGACTTGTTCTCTCCCTCACCATTATTCCTATTCGATTGAAAATGTTGGCGTGAAACACAAAGCGATTCATTGAGACGATGCTCTGTGTGAATTGTAAGTTGGTGAAATCACAGGTTCGATCACATTTTATTTCTATGTATTATTCCTTTCTTTTTATGTCAATCGTTCGTTGTGATTTCTTCAGATGTGACGAAGACTTACATCATACTTGTTCAAGTAATAATCGTTATGTTAATAATGTTTCTGATATTTTTATTGAAAGGTCTAGTACGTGTTGCTTTTGAATTTCGAAGAACATCAATAATGTGTGAGTTGTATTCGTTTGTTCTGCAGATATGTGAGATGTAAGAAGCGTTGAGTTTGTCACAGAATAATATGTCAATAAGCACTCAAAAATTAAAATACTGTATGACTTAGTTAGAGAGGCAATTTCCATTCTTATCAAAAACTTTCATAAAACTAATTATTTAGGGTGTAGCTATGAGGAGAGGAATGAAGAAAAAACTCACTATTACCTATACCAACACCTTGTTGTTGTTGAAAAGTTCAAAAAATATCACTCCGATTGAAGATGAGTAAATAATGTGCCTTTAGTTGCTGATAACTAGTTTTTTTTTCAGTAGTTTATCTGATTAGAGGATTCACTCTGCAATGATGATGTTTACTTTCTACAACATCATCAAATTACAATAGAGTCGTTCAAATAAATGAGAATGTAAAACTAGACATGTATTGAAGTTGTTGTAGCTCAGTGTTTCGATATTGAAGAGCTAGCCAACTTCGCACAACATATGAGAATAACATGCAGATAAAATGTAATGTTTAGCTATTATCAAATGAAGAATTGTTTCTCTTATCAACAGTTTCAATATCTTGACTCTTTTTCACTATTAAATGTTATCGTCCATGAAATACGAACGGACACTCGTCTTAAGTAATCATAAATATACCTGAGATCGACAAGAATACACAACAAAACCAACAACCATAAAGTTATCTACTGAAGAACCATGTGTGAATTATGCGGTAGCATCAAAAATAGCTTTTTCGTAAGAAAAGTTATTTCTCCAATATTGATCCTAGTTAATATTTGTTTAACAATCTATTTTATTGTTTCAAATGCACAGAATTATAAAAGATACGAAAACCGTGATCTATACGTAGTATATCATGTTGCAAATACAACTTCGAACTACTATATCATCAGAGCGAACATGAATGATACCACAAATTGTTCATCGAACGCTCTATTTACTTTTGATGTAACAACTGTATACAAAAATATCATTAGCAAGGAAGGAAGACAAAATATATTGTTCGTTACTGTCTTTTGGCTGAGTACAATCGTTGCTGTACTTCTCAGTATCTTCGATATAGTTTTGGCATTAATAGATCAATGCATGCAGTATCATGTAGACTATGAGTCTATTGAAGAGAATAATTCATTTGTATATAAATTAATCAATTCAATTGGTTCTCAATTTCTTCAAAAAGGTTCATTTATTTTTCCAACCTATTTTATCACTATTTTTGACTATACTCAATTATGTCTACCGCATCATAACAAAGCATCAGTGTTTATTCTGCATCATACTTATATTGGTATTATTATATCATTATGTGGCATGGGCTATTTAATACTATGGACATTAGCTTGCTGGGATTCACGACGCCACCATTATTTCAAAGACATTATATGGGTGAAATGTGTTGAAGTTCTAACATGTCGTCATGAACGAGCATCTTTAGTGCTGTTTATTTTTTTCTGTTTAGCTGTTATTCCAATAGGTGTTTACGGCACGTTTGTGTGGATAACATCATTGATGGAATCCGTTTTGACATCAAAAGCAGTTTTAATAGGTTTCCATTTTATTCTAGGCGTCGCTCATCATACAATGAAATATTGTATACATTATTAAGACTTGTAGGATTCAAGTAATGTACGATTTAAATAGCTGTTCGCATTTCAATCTGACTATCCAACGTGCTAGATGAATAAAATTACAAAAGTAACAAAACGTTCTAGGTTATAATAATCTTTAATATTTACATATGTCAATCTATTCAGTACGAAACGAGATTTTTTGTTGACTCATTTATATGATTCGAGTTTATTTAGCTGTTACTTGAACATGGAAAAGTCTTTTTTATGATATTTCGAGAAAACTGACAGCTAGGATGAAATTATTTGTTTTTGGCTTATTAGCATGCAAGAGATAAACAAAAGGACAATTTTGCTCTGTGTAATGGCGTCCGTGTTCAGTACGCGAATGATTTATCGCCAATTATCTCTTGACCAACGAAACTTCCATGAGTTGAATCGTCAGAGAGGCATAGCTGAGTGCAAATAGTAATGTGGTCAATTTTGTATAAAGAAGAAACAGCAGTTTTAATTTCGCTCAGTTTCGGTCTCTGTCGGTTCCTCCATTTGAACTTCTCATCGCATTCGACGAAGAGGTAACAAAAGAACAATATACAATCTTCGAATAGACATACTGGCATATTCGAAAATCTTAGGTCGACAAAAACAGAAAATAGGTGAAGAGTCAAATTCAGTTTTAACCATATTCGTCACATATACTACCGTCACGAATGAAGTATTCGAATATTCAGTAAAGAACAACTCTGTCTATGGTTATCATAATCTTAATTTCAATGAAACAATTCCAATAAAATGTTTTCAAAGCAATACGTCCACTACAAGATTCAATAACTAGAGACGAACACTAGTGAGAGATCGTCGTTTTGATTAACACATGAAAAACACTCTTCACATTATGATAACAAACTATAGTCAATATAAAAGCGTTTGCATGATCAAAAAAAATATGACTAATCTACTTTACAAAATCAGAATTGAACTGATCTAATAAAACCGACAAAAATTGATGAAAGTATGCTCAATAGTTTTACGTTATACTCGACAGATAATTGGCTTGCAAGGACACGTAAAGAGATGAAGAGAGTTGTATTAATTTGACTGAAAGAAAAAATAGTAAGGGAGAGAATAACAAAAGAAAATGTCGAAGAAAATTTATTTTGAGATTCTCGACTAGCGAAATGAAGACATTTTATTTCATGCAAAAATGTGAGAGATGTGTAAGGACAACAACCAGAGATAATAGTCGATGAAAAATGTTCAAGAACAAAACTAATGACAAAGCAATGCATTTAAAGTATAAGTATGGATACAGAAAAAAAACTAAAAGGCACTATCATCTACGCCTTCTACGAGAAGAGAGAGAGAGAACAGAAAAGAGAAGTAGCGCGAAAGAACTAAATGGGAGATGAACTGAACAATAATGACACACAGTATTGTTCAAGATGATAAGAATAAAAGAATTTGGATTTGTTTCTGCGATGCTGAGTACATAACTAAAATGAATATAATGATTGAAATAGCTAATGTAGTTCTCTATCAGTGTGCATCATATTTCATGATTTCATAGTTGAACTATGTTAAAAAAGTCTTCTAAAAAAAGCTGAGTACGCTAGTTTTCAAGTCTCGAAAGACATTGCTCGAGTTTATTTATAGAAATACTATCAGAAAGAGCACAGACTTGTGAACACAATAAAGAGTCATCGAGTTATTACGGATATTCTCTGTCGAAACGGCACATATAAAAAGAGATTAAAAAAAAAGCAAAACTTATGAAAAGAATCGCTAAAAAATTATATTTTTCTAGTGTTTTTTTCTTAATGCTTGTTACTTTGTAAAGGAATATCATAAAAAAGCGACAAGTTCTCATTTCATTTAGAATTCCGTGCTATTACACATAGGATTATTAAAAGTTAGCATGAACAATGTCTTTTGAGACTAATAATTATCGTAATCAGTTTTTTAGAAAGCTTTTTCACATTGTCCAACTTGAAAATCTTTATATACAGTGATAAAATTACTGTGTTCTTATATAATTTTGATCAGTACTATAGATCTTCGACCATCACATTCGACATTATTCATATTGTTAATGATACCGAACAAAATGAAATGTGATAGCCATCATCACATGACGAAAATCCTGTTGGATGTTTTTGTATGAGAACCAATGTTAATTGAAAAAATTCTTTGATTTTGAACGTGATTGAAGAGCTAGAAAAAAAAACCATATTTATTTTGATTTCAGTAAACATATTGTTATGGTTGTTGTAGACATGGCTTTATTTGATTTCTGAGCAAATCTGCACTCTTTCAGATCATTTTTTTCGAACATTTTATATGTCAACGAGAAAAAAATCTAAAATAAAAATGTCTCTCGATCGAAGTTGATAATAATCAATTGCTCAGTGTTGATCAAAATGCATATAATCAAATTGTGCTACTCTTCTTCTGTTATAGATCAAAGCTGAAAACACTAACAATAACTCTCACAGTCTTATCGATTGATTAAAATTCATTGATGATATACATTTAGAGAATGAAAGTTTGAGTCAAATACTGTATATGCATACATTTATCTTCGATATTGTTACTATTAATCGAAACATTCATAATAATAAAGATCGGCAATCTGTTGATGATATTGAATGTCTATTCATTTGCAAATCATACCAAGCGAATGGTTCTATGTATGCAAGATCTCAATATTAAGATGTATGAGTGCTACGTTTTTTATGAATAAAGTAGGATTGTTTCTATTTTTTACAAAAGTGTGGGCCAATAAAATGGATTCGCACAACTTGTATGGATTCATTGCTTTTCAATCATAGCAAGAATCGCAAAATGAAAAATAAAACAAGATTTGACTTTGAATAAACTTTATTATTCGTATATTAGAAAAGAGAACTTGAATCGAAAAATTAAATAAGTTTAGTATTCATAAATAAGCTTTGAGCTGCACACTTTTACAAAATTGGGACGCTTTGTGAGTTTTCGTTCAGAATTTCGGATAATACTAAAATAATAAAGTAAACTTATAATTTTACAATTTCATATGTTTCCTCTGGCACTTTCACGACTTGATGAGTTACACAAACTGTTGACTTATCATCATTTTTAGAATCAGTATTAGTCTCCTTTGGTGAATAAAGGTACCAATATATAAAACCAACAAAAACTGCTCCACTTATAATATTTCCAAGCGTGGTTGGAATCAATAAACACGAAATATACTTTTCAACAGATAGATTAGCACCAAGCATCATACCAATTTGAACTGTAAACATATTAGCAATGGAGTGTTCATATCCAACACTAACAAAAAGCCAGATAGGCAGATAAATACCGATTATTTTTGAATGTAAATCACGTGCACTTGTAGCCAACCATACGGCAAGACATACAAGCCAATTTCCAGCAATAGCTCTTAAAAATTCTTGATGCCATTCATTGGTACCTTTTATTTCAGCAATTTTTATAGTATATGAACGATAAGGATCATTAGAGAGAAGACCTGCATAGTAAATAAGTATACCCTCGCAAAAAAGACTGCCAGCAAGATTTCCAAAAAACGAGACTCCCCATGATATTACAAGATGAATCCATGTTGTTTTTTTCTGTAATGTTGATATCGTTAATATCATTGTGTTTCCAGTAAATAACTCAGCACCCGTAGTAACAATCAAAATTAAACCAATAGGAAATACGGCAGCTTGTACCATTCTCTGTATACCAGGACCAAGATTCTGAGCCAATGGAGCACTTCCACCACCAACAATAAGAAGAAAAAGACCACTGTAGGATAGAAAAACACCAGCTAAAATTGATTTAATAATCAAATGATCAATTCTTAGTTTTGATTTTTGAACTCCAGCAGCTGACAACAATTCAAGAGTCTCATAAACATTGTGACTATCGCAGGTTGTCATAATCATTGAAGTTTTTAGTCGCTTTAATGTCTAGAAAGATATATTATACATCGTATTTTATTCAAAAGAATGTTGAACAATCATATCCACTTTGTTTTATTCGATGGGATTAAATATATACAATAGAATGTCACGTTTCTTCTCAGTTATCTTTGTAGCGGTTCAATATAGTTGAAAATAGTTATTTGTTTTATCTTTTAGAGATTAACATCAGAAGAAAACATACATCGAATGAAAGAAAGGAAAGCTAATGAATATGTTCTCATTCATTATCTTACCTATAAAATATTCAGGTAAAAAAAAACAAAGCACCAGACAATAAGATAACGAACTTTATTTGCTACTCAAATTTGAGAATTAATTCGCTTGAACCCTATTTACAATAATTGGTGCTTAAAATTAGAGATGTCATTTGAAAACGCTACGAATTGAACTGAAGATTTAGGAAGAATATTTAAGCTTATTTCGAGACTTTTAATAGATGGAACAGCTTAATAACAGACTATCGTAAAAATTACAGGCTTATTGAATACGTAGATCATTAATCGTGTTTAGCCTATTGATTATATAGCATTTGCGGCGAAACTATGTGAAACAACAACAATTTCATGCAGTGATTTATTGCATCGAATACTAAATTGACAAAGTCGTCTTGATATAAGACGATGGGGTTGCCTTTTTTGAATCCATCTATATCGATTGTGCAACACGGATTCGCTTTTTTCCAAAAGTATTATGCATAGTACTTAAATATTAGTTTAAATATTTGTCAAAGTAGTTTCATTCACGTTAAGTTATATTTCAGTACTTGTTCAAATTTCAAGAATAGAAATTCAGTGAAATCGACGTACCTGATTGTGGATGATCAAGATAGTAAATAACGTTGATGAATGTAAGCTCCACCAGAAAATAATGTGTCTGTCAACTTGAGAAAAAGCATTCGTGCATGAAGCGATCATTTACTTATTGTTAAATATATTTTGACAGCGGCACGACGCATGACTATTTGTTTTATTGCAAATGCTTATTTTTTGTTATGCTTATACGTGAAAAATTGACAAAGAAACAATCAAAATAAGCTGTGTTTACATTATATATGCACGTTTTTGACGAAGTTTATCCGTGGGCTTACGGGTCAATCAAAGTACGTTCTAGATTACACCATTGTGCATCCAATGGTAATTACATCCCCATTTAATAATGAATAATAATAGCATAATTCATACTAGAAGTGAGCGAAATACCTATTTTTTTGTGATCAAGTCTGTCATAAAATTTGAGAACCGTATTGATATAGCGCCATCCAAAAGCAAGATTTTTGTCTTAAGCGTTTCAAAACTTCATTTTCAATCATTCTGTTGTCGTAATGTCCTTAGAAAAAGATGGTCAACTAAAATGACAAAAAAATGCACTCACACTTGTTAACGGTGATTCACACTTAGCCTACCCTCGATTCTCTTTCTCTTTCTGTCGCGCTTCTTCTTTCTACTGTATTATTATTATTATTGTTTCTCCTTCTTTCTCTCATGCTCTTCTTCTTCTCTCTATGGACGTATATATACCTAGTGATTTAAAGACATTTTTGAAGAGATTTAACATATGAAATAAATAAACAAAGTTAAGCTCGTCGAAGCGAGCTAACAACAACCAAGATGAAACATTACAGGTCACCGTCATCGAGCCTTTTTTTGCTGCATATATCGTCATGACACTATCTTCTCAAGAAAAAACACCGTTGTGATGTCGTAATGGTGTCATATTACGAATCCTGTAATTATAGGAAACTATGGCCTCGTTGACGTGTCGTATTTCACCATAAATGGTTGTATATGGATCTTATTCTTCAAGCATAAAAGAGGCGATGAAAATAAATCTTTTGAACTGCGAATTTGATCGACACAAAATCAAACCACAATCAAAGTCAAACTGATCTTGTACATTCTGACTTCAGGCATTCTTTCAGCAGCTATCTTGCAGAAAGCACAAAATTTAAAATCACGAAGACTTTCTTTCTGATGAAATTACTCGTTTTTTGTCTGCGATTCGTTTTTGATAACAACCTATTACAAATCTTACTTTAAAACGCATGATACTAATGATTTGTCGAACGCAAAACTCATTTGCATAAAATATTCAAGACAGGCAAATTCTTCAATTTTTTTCAGCTTGTAGTTATTTCAAATGTTGGCTGGATTAGATTGAATATTGATTAATACAACTAGTAAAACAATATGAGATTTGTTTCTAGACTTTTTGATAAAAAAACCACCAAAGGAACAGGTTTCAATTGATTTTTATGCATCTTTCTCTTAAAAAAGTCATTTGAATGTGTCATACATGTGGTCATGTTGATTTTATAAAGTAATAAACAATTAAATATATGGCAGACATGGAATCGGATCGTGGTTTTCTTTCGGAACCAAATCAATTGCACCTCTAATATTTTCAGTCCGTTCAATATCAGCTTGCTGTACTTGAAATTGAAAGACTGTGAAACTCAAGAAAATAAGTTTGAATCGCTTTATGATTCGGTTATCGATGTGGGACATTCATATCATACATCAATAAATAAAGATCATTTTAGTAAAAAAAAAAGAGGCTTTGTTTTGTTCATTGACAGTGAATGATTTCTTCTGATTGTCACAAATATATATATGAAAATGATTTTGATATGAAGCTCTTGAAATACTTTAGATCTGTTCGGTTTAGATTACATTCTAGTTATTTATGAGAATTTATAGAAAAAAAAAATCAGCCATTTTTATTATTTATTACATAAAAAAGAACTTAAAAATTCATCGATGATTATCATTTGGTCCAACCATTTGTTTCATATTGTTCTGGTTCCGATTCTTCTTCATCATAATAAAATGATGTATAAAAACCATAACCATGTTGGCCAGGTAATTTTCTCGTTATCTTATCCCATTCTAATTTTTTGACATCCTTCACATTCTCTTTTCCAAAACATTGATAAACAACTGTACCCCAACCTGAACGTAAAATAACATCATCAATTCAAGATAAATATCGGAAATATTTTCAAAAGTGGACAATAATTAAAAATATTTTTTAAATAGCAAATTGCTCATCATCTCCATTAAATCTGCATCCACAACACCACCAATGAACAGCAATATTTTCACTTTTACATATTGGACATTGTTTATAATTTTTTGACCAGAATCGCTTACGAATTGCTTCACTTTGTTCGTCCACTGAAAATTTTACATCACCATTAGTGCCCATTTTCATTTAACATTCAATCTCATTATAAATGGCTACCTTTGTATTTTTTGATTTGTTATTATTATATGAATCGAACAAGTAAATATTTTTTGCAAACATTAACTATTACGTATGAAAAAAAAAAACATGGATTGTGTATCATACATAAACAAGTGAATATTTTTTTTCTTTTTCTTTTGCGCACAAAATGTTGTCCATCATTCTACACTGAAAAAAGTCGCAATCTCCATCAGTTTTATTTTGAAAGAATTTATCTCGATTATTTTATATGAATAGCATTGAAATTTAAACATTTCATGTACTCTATGAACTTCATACTGTTTTGTAGTAATAATCTACAATTCAATACTTCTACGATCATCACTGATTGTCTTTCAACACATCTTCTACTATCTATAATTATTTGAATACGTTATGCGTTAGGCTTTTCACTTAAATTGCTAATTTTTTTTATTTGATGTAGTTGATCTATTCTATATCAAATTTGACATGGATGAATATTCATTTGAAACTATATATATCAAAGACACTAATTCTATTTACGAAAATATTGGATATATCAAAAAAAAGGAGACCTGAGAAAAAGAATTTATTAAAAAATTCATAGATTTAAAAAAGAGAATACTGTCAGAGATTGTAGATAAGAAAACGTAATAATCAATTGATATCATACAAAAAATTCTTAAACTGACAAAGTTCACAAACAGTTATTGCTTTCTATTAGCGGAATATTTAAAAAAAAAGCAATCATGCTTTTCAACAAAAAAATTTTTGTTTTCAATGATTATTGATCCATATCTTGGGATAAAAGTTCATCAAATAATATCTAATTTATGGCCATCAAATTATTTTAGAGAAAAGAACCTTGCATCACTCAAATCTTACTGTTCTTTTACAGTCTTTAAACTCTAGTCAATTAAATACAATATATAGTCAAGGAAACAACAAACAGATAGAGAGACAGGCATTTTCATCTAAACATTTTGTATATACACTTGTAAGCAAAATACTTTCCCATCTATTATTCTATTACTACAGTCGTCTGTTTTTAATTTAATCTTAAGCCTAAGCCTTGATATGAACTTTATTTCAAGTCATGAAGCATTCTCGTAATGTATTGATTCGGCGTATTAGCCAATAACCTTGAAAGAAGTATAGTGTCCATCGAAGGCAACACCAATTAGTCATACTCTGCACTCAAATAATATGCTTTAAGATCCTTCAAATTAACAATTACTTGAGATAAAATGGATACAATATAGAATAAAAGCGTAAAAGAAAGAGAAAACCTTTGTACTTTCGCTTTTTTTCTGCAGTACTACAATTTTTTCATAATAAAATTTATCACTTACCACTTCTCATAATCATGTCTTCACTTTTGTAGACGCATGATGATTTACATATTATACCGTTACTTATACTTGTTGTAACGATTTTACTAACAATTTGTTAGGTTTCTTGCATCACCAATCATATCGTTTACATACAGAATATACTTTTATATACGCGACTAGGAGAGAGAGACAGATGAGAATAACATACAGAGAACTACGAGCGATGACACATATGGATATCGTTATAATTGTGTGAAACACTCACAATAAATACCTAGAAAAGTGTCTTCTGATATTATTCCAAGCATCATTTCATTTATCTACTAGTTTACATTGTTTACAGACAAATTCTTACGATATACTGTGAGTGATTTTATTATTAGCATTCTTTAGCCTTATGATCATGTCAGTTTCTAAAGAAACAATTTAGCTTTAAGACTATAGATATCAAAAAGGAACAGAATTAAAACAAAGTAAGAGAAAAAAAGAGCAAAACAAAAGAAAACACCCGTGAAGGAACAAATACAGTATGAAAAGAGAAAAAAAACAATAAAATAATTGTGGAGATAACATGTTTTACAAAGATGAGTAATACGTATAGCTATATACATATTTGTTCTTTCGTTCTTGTCTCTTCTAGACGCGGACTACAGTCCTCAAATTACGTTGTTTTTTTTTCTTCTGTGCTTTTTTGGTCAGAGTGACATAGAATCGACGCTCTAGAAATTTTCTGGATTACAAAGCAAAGCACAATAATTCTTCTTCATTGCATACTACAACGAAATCTGAAAGTCCATGTCTTGTCACCCATCTAAGTACTTGTCCTAATATAAGCATAGTAGAGATCATTCAATGATTTTTCATTACAAATAGATGAGAAGACGAAGTCGTCCCAATATTGGCACTAGTACACAATACTATGAGTGTTATTGTGATGCTAACTACTGGAAAAGTACACATAAAAAATTCCAATATTCGAAAAAAAAGATGCTTATGGAAAATTTCAAACTACATTCTTTTTGGTAATAATTACTTATTTTTCAAACAAATTTGATAAATGTTAAAACTTCAAAATTTCCATATCTTTACAAAAGTTCAAACTGACTAAGTGAAGAACTAATCGAAAAGCTATATGACAAAAGAATAATCTCTCTAACTTAATGAATAAACCTGCATACAGAAAAAAAAAAACTTGTAGTCAAAAGAATAAATATTTATTTGTTGATATTCTAATGAAAAAGTTGTAATATAAACATGAACGAACTGATAGAGAGAGCTGAAAGAATCTCATGAAAGATACGCAAATATTTATTTTAACCAAGAGAGGAGGGTAAGAAAAAGAGAGAGAGAGAGGCGGACAAATTATGGAATACTTTTCGATAGGTTTGTTCTTTTCCTTAGCTAATAGGTATATTTATTTCATTTTGATTCTGAGTATAATTTCTTTACATTACCGCCAGAATCTATTTCAATCGCTGGCTTTCATTATCATTACTAAGCCTTAAAAAGTTAATAGAACAAAGAAGAAAGCTTCAACTTGAACAAACATATTTCATAGTGAAATGTAGGAAAGACTGCAAAAAAGAAGAATGCACTGTCTCTCTTGTATGAGTGAACAATAAAAGGTGAGTATAGAAGAACCCTGCAGTTCAAGATTTCCTACATTTCTGAAATTTCTTATAATTGTGTCGGATTCCACTATTCCACTATTGATGTGGACTCTCAGATAACTAACACGCATTAGTGGAGTTGTTCGATGTTTGGAATTTGTTTTTTTTTTATTATTTTGTTATTCAATATTTTTTTAACGATCTATAATCGTCTGCTTTCTTCAACATGGTTCACAATACTTAGATGTCATGAAACCGATCTTTGAAATGAATATATTTTTGTCATGAAAGAAATGGATAATTTAATAATTGAAGGTACAAATATACAATGCAAGTAGCCACAATCAAAGAGGATTGTGGTGGTTACAATTCAAACAAATTTTCTTTCAAAACAAAAAAAAGTTTGTATTCATTAACCGTTAAAATCACAGATAACAAGAAAATTTGTATATCTTTTTAGAACAAGCTCGCATTTGCCACAAAATAGAACTTGTTCTTTATAAAATATAAAATCTTTTATGTCTACAATATTTTTACCATGGTAAACTTGTTAAAATAGTCTTTGAATATTTATGTATTTCAAAAGCTCATTGTTACCAAAGATTCGAAAATAATTACATAATGAGTATATAAATTATTAAAAGATAAAAAGCTATAAAAGTATCTTTTTGACTTTCAATAAGCAAAAGTACAATGAGAACAATTCTTGTATGCTATTTTCAACCTCTTTTTATGGTAGCCTATCTAATTCAACATCCATTTACGGTGTTGTAAAAGACTTTTAATGTGTATATTGAACGTTCTTCCTTAGCTGCAGTACACAAGCACACTATATGATGAATATTGACTTTCCTAAAGATTGATCAATTTTTTAGAAATGCTATTTTCTATTTAATTTCATTATTATTGGCATTCATCAGTCATTGAGGAGAATCATTGTTTTTTTGAATAAAAACGTCAAATGAAGTCATCAATAAAGAACATTTCAAAGAAATCGTATTCTTTTACAGTGTTCATAGATGTCCAGTTTGCAAACACTTTCTTGAGAGAGCATGTGTGTTCAAGTACACTGATTTTTCCTATTAAATCATAATTCATTGTCCATGTCTATCAAAAGTAGAAATCAATATCTGTGCAGATCGGACTCATCTACCTTCGATCCAACTTAATTCTGGGAATTCTCACTGACTCCTGCCAAACGTTGTCGGAATCCATTTTGTTATACATATGTCAACGATCTATGACAGTTGAAACTTGAGAAAAAGTAAATAGTTGGATTGTTTGGAATTTTATCAAATCTGACACATAGTCTGATACAATTTGACAGAACTCAACTATTGAATCCTTCGTTCTGAGTATACTTGCAAGCCAAAAAAAACTTGGCATTTCATGAATAGTGACCGAAGCAAAGTCTATTTCAAGGTTTATAGCTGTTTTCAAATGTACAATATTTTTAGTAGATGTAGTGGAAAAAGAAAACAGAAAAAAGTTAATATTTGGTGTGAGTGTGGTTGTTGATACTGATTCCATCCACATCCATGTTTCTCAAGAGATAAAGATATGTTATTTATGAATCCCCTTTGGAAATGCCAAGATCAGTTAATAGAGAGAAAAGTGAAGATTATCTCTTTTGTAATGGATTCATTTAGAAAAGTTTCAAAGTCTTCTCTGAGATATTCTACATAAATTATCATGCCCTATATGAATTTGATCGGCGGTATGAAAATTTAAAAAGAATGAAAAATTGCGAACTTTCTAACAGAATTTCTGACCATCTCTCTCTAATTCTGGCATTAAATAACTTAGTGATTGTTTCGTGTAATACTGTCGTTGTCATTTGATTATTAATGTTGAAGATGATGGAATGATATCAGATTGAAATATAAACAAGTTCTATGATAATTATTGAAAGTTCTTAGTTGTTTTTCCAGGCGCCATAAGTTTCATAAGCGACAAATTAAGTTCATAGCTTTGAATTAAAATTACAAAAATGTCTGTTGTGGTTTGCGTGTTTAGCTTATTTACATTGTTCTTTTTTCATTTTTTTTTCTTCATA